GTTTCTTTTAACTTTTAATTTTTAAATCCCAGTTTTTATCTTGTTGACTGGTGCGTGTCTGACTTTCTTTGGATTTCTTTTATCTGAGTATTATTTTCTTAATGGGGAGGAAGATGAAGAGGAGTCACTCAAGATCTGGGCACATAAACCCGAGAAAATCCTTGAAGCCTCTAAGAATTGATGAGGCCAGTTAGGGCCACTGATTTATTTACGATAAGTAATCGGTTCAACCCCTTGGCTGATTCATGAACGGAAACAGTTCTAGTCACGGAGGCAGATTGTATGAGCAATCAAGGCATGACAATGTCCTACCTACTACAGGAATCTCCACTGCCAGAACAGCTAACAGAACGAGTAAAATATAACAATGCAACCTTTTCTCTGCTGACTCCTCTCAGAGAACTTTTATGTCAAATCAATTATTGCAGATACTGTTTCTTTGATATTTTCAAACTCACACATCATCTGTGAAAAACTTGACTCCCTACTATGCTTATGAGGTTATTTCTCAAAAGGCTTCACAGCATATCATACAATCAACTCAAAGTATGGTTTCCATTTGTAATAATGTCATGAAATTAATAAATGTGGTCCCTGTGAAAAATAGTATTCTCTTTGATTTTGTTGCTACATATCCCAATTTCCCAGTTGGAGCTGGAATCATGAGTATGCTGATGATATCCAATTTATCTCTTTCAACCCCAGGATGTCAAAGTCCCACCCCAATGTGCAGAGAAGGAGGAAGATGATCTTGATGGAGATATGAAGGAAGTGTTACTTAGGCAAAAGGGGCTGAAGCATTTTTTCAGTCTTCTGGTGGCATCTAAGCAACTGTTTGATCCTCTCCTCTTCTCTCCCTCCTTTAAAGTCCTTTATCTGGAGTGAAATTGGGTGAGCCTGTTTTACAGATTTATTTTGCTTTTTTCTTCTGCAAAATGTCATTTTGTACTTTTTGGGAAGAAGGGTTAATTGTGCCTCATGAAGCTTAATTTGATCTGGGGCTAAGAGTCTTTTCCAGGATGAATCAAACCCCAGGTGATGGATAAATTGCAGTCAATGTGTAATCTTATGGAGGCTAATCATGGTAAATTATTTTCTGTGATGATAATGTTTGTAAAGACATTGGCTTACTGGATGAAAATATTACTACTCTGGATTGCAATATGATGTTATTATGAGAAGATACAAAGCGCATATTAATTTCAAGAGGTGCTGGAAACCATGAAGACAGTACAGTAGTTGCTCGTTGTCATGAACCCAGACTAAAGGGAGCTGAATCTAAAATTGAACAGTCATTGTTAATGTGGATGTTTGCCTATCGTCGTTGATGAAGACCTCGACACCATGGGGTTTTTTTTAGTATATAATATTGAAACTAGATATGGGGTGTCCGAAGATGACTCATTAGGCCAATTTGGGCAATTCAGAGTGTTGCATGTTGGACAAACATGCACGGGCATTGCAGTAGCTGTGCTCATGGCTCTGGTCTTAGGCAGCTCGCACTTACGTTGTGCTTGAGCAAAGGACCTTGCTTTGTAAGCTTGACAGCCCCTGTGGATGAGGCCCCGCCAGGTAGGGCAGTTTTGTGTCTATATCAAGCAATGTCAGGGAGGCCTTTAGTGTGTCTTTATAACTTTTCTTCTGCCCTCTGTGTGAATCTCTTCCAGCAGAGAGTTCCCCAAAGAGGAGCTGCTTGGGTATGTGCTTGTCTGGCATATGAATGATACGATCTGCCCACTAGTTTTGTGCTGTCACCAGCAGTGTGTACGCTGATGAGAGATAGTCTAGATAAAACTTCAGTATCTGGTACTTTGTCTCGCCATCTGGTGCCTAATATCCTGCAAAGATTCAGCTGTCTTGCACACCTTTGATGCACAGTCCACGTTTCATAGGCATAGAGAAGGACAGTAAGTACCACGGCTCTGTGGATCTTCAATTTTGTTGCTGTGCTAATTCCTCAACATTCCCACACAGTGGAGTGCAGTCTTCTGAAAGCAGCACTTACCTTTGCTATTCTGCAGTTGACTTCTGTATCAGTGGTCGCTAGTCGGGAGAGGGTGCTGCCAAGGTAATTGGACTGGTCCACAGCCTGTAGTTTCTGCCCTTTGATTATGGTTTTGGGTTCTACATCTAGTGCATGAGGAGCAGGCTGATGCATGATCTCCATCTTTGGGTGTTGATGGTAAGTCCAAAGTTGTCACAAGCCATGGAGAATTGATTCACATGCATCTCTGGCTCTGAGCCAGCATTCAAGGCATAGTCATTGGCAAAGAGGATGTCTCTCAGAACAATTAATGCAATTGTTAATGTAATGTTGAACTGTATACCAAAGGATTGGCATGTGACTGTTTATCAAGAGTTATGGTTGTATCAAGCTTGGGAGGGTGGCTAAAAGAATCAAACTGAGAAACTGGAAATATGATATTATTCCCGATGTTAAGGAATAGTTGTTATAAATGTGTGATGTATCTGTTTTGGAAAAAGCAGTATTTCCTACTAAATCAAAAGATGCATGAGTGGGTGTTAGTTACTATGGCAGACATTTTGGATATTTTAGAATAAAATTTTGTACTTTTCACTAATAGTAGCTTACCCATTAGTAAATCAGTAACTATTGATAAGTACAAAATATAAGGTAGAGTTTTCTCCTTTTTTTTCTGTCTTAGTTTTCAGTTTGTGTGGGGTTGTCTCATTTCTATTTTTAATTATTTTAAGTTTAAAGATTGCTTAGTTAATTGCATATGTATAAAATTTAGAAAAAGAAAGAAAGAAAAGTCCAGAATTATGAGATAACATTCAAAATCGGCTCAGGCAGACATCTCCCTAATTCACTCAATATAAGAAGGAGGAGAAGCTATACCATAATCAGACTTGTGAGATTCTGTTAGTATACCCAATCTCAATAAAACTAGTCTTAGCCTTCCTGTGCATTTGATTTCCTGGGCTAGTCTATCTAGTGGAGCAAACACAGTGCCTGGAGGCTGTGTGGGCCTGGATGGGGAGGAACTGTCTTCAGCTTAATCCCACGAAGACCGAGTAGCTGTGGCTGCTAGGGCCCCCTAGATCTGGGGAGATTCCAACTTTGACCTTGGGTGGGGTTGTACTTCCCCACTCAAGAGTGTTTGTAATCTGGAGGTGTTCTTGGTCTCACAGTTCCTGCCTCATGAACAGGTGGCAATCGTGGCCAAGAAGACCTTGGCCAGCTTTATCTGGTGGGCCAGTTGGGCTGTTTCCTAGACTGGGAGTCCCTTCACATAGTCCCTCATGCCTAGTCACCTCATGGCTTGACCATTCCAATTTGCTCTATGTGGGTCAGTCCCTGAAGACCACTCTGAAGCTTCAGCTGGTCCAGAATGCATTGGCACGGGCAGTGATGGCCTTCCCTTGGTATGTCTATTTGACATCTCTGCTCTGCAAGCTGCACTGGCTGCTGGTGTGCTTTAGGTGTGACTCAAGGAGCTGGTTATGACCTATAAACCCTATATGTCATAGGGCCCAGTTATTTGAGGAATCATCGATCTCCCTGGTGTCTGCCTGGGCGATACAAACCGAAGGTCACTTCAGTTAAACAGCATTATCTTTCAGGACCCAGAAGGTGTACCTTCTCTGTTGTTGGGCTTATCCCCTGGAATGAAGTTCCCCTTACAATCTGGATGGCTATCACCTTGATAGAGTTCCTTTTTTAAAAATACAATTTTTATTTAAAGAAAATTTTACATAAGATTAAAAAACTATGGAAACATAAAAGTAGAAAAAAGAAAGAAACATGAAAGAATAAATGAAAAAGTGAAAGATTACAAAAGAAAGAGAGAAAAATAAAGATATCTAAAGAAGCGACTTCCAACCTCCTTTGCAGCAGTTACAAACATAGTAATGACCATGGTTCCCTTCCTCCCATAAACAAGCCTTTTTAATCAATAAATCCCAAAATCACCAATTCATTTTTATCCATTTTCAGCAAAAAGTCCATAAAGGGTTTCTGGCCTTTTACAAAAGTAATTGTTGTTCCCTCCTTAATCAAAGAAGTCAGTGTAGCCATTTTTGCAAGTTCTGCCATGCTTACGACCCGTTCCTCCATGATGGGTATTTCTGTATTTTTCCATCTTCATGCATATAGTAGCCTCACTGCAGTTACTATATATAACAACAATCATCCATGAGCTTTTTTTAGTTGACTGTCCATAAGTTGCACTAAGAAAAATGGTGGTTTCATCTGAATATTAATTTTTAAAACTCTCTGCATCACCATATCTATTTGTGTCCAACAGTTTTTTGCTTTTTTCACAAGTCCACCATGCACGATAAAATGTCGCTTCCTGTTTTTTACATTTCCAACAGTAATTAGAAGTACTTTTATACATCTTAGACAACTTCTCTGGGGTCATACACCAATGGCAAATTATTTTGTAAAAGTTCTGTTTTAAACTGTAAAAGCCCCTTTGAGTTGTGTTGTTGCCTGCAAACGTCATCTTGTTTTTTAACAGCTTTTATTTCTTTTTTTTTTTCTAGTTATGTTGTATTTCATTTTCTCAGTTATACTCTGAGGTGTCCAGAGTCATCTGGAGGGAAGTAGTGCCCAAATCAAATACATTAAAGTAAATTAAATCACCTTCGCCCAGTGGGACCGTTGTTGATAATTTAATACAGATACCCACTAATACCAGGGAGTGTTTAGATAAATGACTAATCTGCCATCTTGTCTTCCATGTCTTAATGTAATTGTTCTAAAATAACATACGATTCATGTTAGTCCTAGGGATACCCAAGTATTTCACCTTTTTCTTAATCTTAAACCCAGTTTATTCTATCAACTCTTTTTGTTCTTCCATCCTCATGTTTTTGGTTAACATCTTTGTTTTCTGTTTATTAATTGTAAATTCAGCTAACCCACCCAACTCCTTACACACACACATTTATTACAGCTGTAAGGCCAGATACAATCAAAGTATACAATAACAACCATCTTATGTTTATATATATATCTATAAAACAAAACAATTAATATTATTTAATCTAGTCATTAAAATAACAGTGCTAAAATAGATCAAAGTAAGATACTACGTTGTGGAGTTTTAACTCTAAATAATGGTGGAGCGTAGTGTACAGATGGTAGCACAAAACTGGGCAACTTGGGAGAATATTTCCAGGTCTTTGTCCGAAAGGATGTGCCAGAGGCTTGCTGTGCGGAGGTGCTAAAGAGAGGGCACACCGATGGAATTACGGGACATTGTGGATTTGTCAGGACCCTCCACATCCTGTGCGGGCAGTTCTGGTGGCCGTCCCTCCGGAGGGATATGAGGGAACATGTGGCCAGCTGCTCAATGTGTGCAACTACGAGGGGAGAGAAGGAGAATCTTCGGGACCCTTCTGCCCAATAATTAACCCGGCCATGGTAAGGCTAGAGCCCCAAAACCCGAGGAAAGGCCACACAGTTACGGCAGATGGGGGGCAGTACCCTGGGAAGCCCAATTAGAGAGAGGGGTCTCTCTTCAGGAGGGCGGTATGTCAGATTCAGCCACATGGAACGGCAGGGCGAACGCGCTGCTCAGCTTCGCCTAAGTCAATTTCACCGCCCGGGCGCAAGCGGAGAAAAAGGGGAAGTGAAACCGCGAACAGATTACGGACAGGTGGCGGCGCTTAACTCAAAACCGCCAGTGGATACTTTGCATCAGCGCGGCTTCCCTCGGGCGCTGCAAACAAAGGAAAGCGCAGAGGCTCGGAAGCGAAGCAATCAATGGGCGAGCGATTGAGAACTCCTGGCTTTGCGCGCAAACAGGCAAACCCAACAAAAGCAACAACAGCACAACCCATAGACGG